ACCCTTTCAGTGATGGCGCAGGCCAAGCCTCGTGCTGTCGGGCTTGTCAGAATGTCCTGAGGAGGCACGGAGAGTTTGCTCCGCCCAGCGAGGTTAGAGGTGATAGGCCTCCACACGACGCTGAGCATGTAGTAGGTTAAAAGTGATGCTTCCAGGTTCCACAGAGCCACAAAACCTCAACGTTTGCGTGAGAACCACACAAAGCAAAGATCTCATAGGATCTTCAAATGTCTGGCTCTGTGTGGCTGCTAAGTTTGGCCACTCTCTATAATTTCAAAGCAGCGGTTACAAGGAAGCCACACTGAGTAAATAATGCAAATAAGTGAGAACCTGGGGCATCTAAGTAGCAGGAGAAAACTATTTCCAAAGATCAAGAATTTTCACCTCAACATAGTAAACCTATTTTTTTAAATGGCAGTTTTTCAAAGAAGGGAGTAGAAGTGAGTCGTTACGTAACAGAAGAGCTCCATCCGCGGATGACATTTCATCCCAAATTATCAAGGATGGTGACAAGGGTATAAAATCATTCATGAGAGGGACCGAAGCCAGAAACTGATGTCCAACAGAAACAGAAAAGTGAAATAAATATAACGAATTAATAGGAAACGTATCAAATCAGATACTATGCGAAATTCTTCAGGCTGCATGGAAATCATACCAGATTCCTTAAAATTAGGATCAATTCCTTTAAAATGTGAGTAACTAGCAAGGATTACTTCCTCAGGAATTTTTCAATATGTATTTTCTGCTTACATGCATACACACTTAGGTTATTTGGGGATGCATTTAAAATTTGAGAAGCAGAGGCATTTGACTACAGTATAAAGGCTATCCGTGGTAAACAGACTTCTACAATTTCAATGATTTTGTATTTTATATGAAATGTAACTCAGCAGAGTGTGAAATTATATATACACATACCTATGTGTGTGTATAGATAGATAGGGAAGATGTATACAATCCCTAGAGCAACCATTTAAAATTGTAACACAGAGTAGTATAGCCACCACATCAATTAAAAAAAATGGAAGGGGTTCCAGATACTCAACCCAAACAATACGAGAAAGAGAAACAGAACAAAAATAAAAAGGGCTTGGGGACAGAGGTTAGCAGTGGAGAGCCTGCTGTACGTATATGAGGCCCAGGTTCAACCCTCCAGCACCTAAGAAATGATTAGAAGATTAAGAGGAAAATAAAGCCATGCAATATCTGAACCAAACCATACCAATAATCAACTGTTAATGAAGCAATCGAGCTAAAAGTGAGATTTTCAGAATAGACTCTGACTTCAAAATGTTGATATTAAATATAAAGAACAGATTAAAAGCAAATGCAGAGAAAATATACCTATCATTCACAGGAACAGTAAACATGTAGAATGGGGTGGCTATCTTAATCTCAGAGAAGGTAAGCTTCAACATAAAAAGCATTAGCCAGGAAAGAGAAAGGCATTTATTTCATAACTGGACCAATTCATTGTGAGAGGCCACCACAATCAGAAATTCATGTGTATCTAACACAGAAGAAGCCAACACTAACAGAATTGATCATAACTGGAGATTACATACAACTATCTCAGAAGCAGACAAAACCATTAGATTTGCAAAGTCAGCGATGACACTTTCAATTAACTCATACCTAGCAACTCTGAAACACCTTTTAGTGAATAAATCTCAGTACATGTAAAGGAGATGAAATAATAGAGTATATTCTGGACCCAAACAGAATACCTAAAAATCAAGAACAATAAGAAATTTGGAAAAGGGGTACTTTGAAATAAAACAATACTTGCCTACATAATTTATTGATTAAAGAAGAGCTCACAAATGAAATTAGAAAATATTTTGAGCTATATAATAATAAACCGCTATTTCAGGCTTTATGGGATGCAATTAAAATGGCGGAAGCAAATGTATCACTTCAAATACCTACACAAGCTAGGCTGGCGGCTCATGCTTATACTCCTAGCTACTCAGGAGGCTGAGATTTGAGAATCAAGGCTCAAAGCAAGCCAAGGTTGGAAGGTTCATGAGACTCTTCTCTCCAATTAACCACCCAAATGCCAGAAGTGGAGGAGCACTAGCCTTGGGCAAAATGATCAGGAACAGGACTCAGATCCTGATTTCAAGCTCCAGGACCAGCACTAAACAAAACAAAAAGAGAACCACCAATGGTGTCATGAAGAGCAAGATTTGACCAAATACCTGGGTCCTGTGGTCTGACCTACTGGGCCCGTAAGCCACCCACACCGGGTCAAAGTTTTCTATGTCTCATGTATGCGTCTGTGTTGTCAGGATGATGGGGTCAGGTATCACACAAGACCCCTGACTGCTCAGCAGCTCTGTAATCATATGATTAACAAGACATCCAATTCACCTGACAGAGCAAATGTCCTGCCCCCACCATATGCTTGCAGTTACACTCGGTAGAATTTGCACCAGCTCAGCAATATTCTGTGTAGGGCCTGAATCCCAAATATATCGTGCAGAGAAAGACACTGAAACGCTCTACGCCACAAAACCACTTGAGCAAAAGAGAAGTGGCCAGGGAGTCTCTCCCTCAGAGGAGACGATCTGCCCCAGGAACTGAGTGAGTCACTGGACACTCCAGTCCGCATATCAGTCCACCCATCCAGTGCTGAGCTCTGGCTCACTCGGGACCATGTCTCATTTACCTTTGCTCCCCAAGAAGTGAGTGCCATAGTGGTCAGTACGCTGCATGTGATTAAAGGCACTTTGGGGGCCCAGCTGAGCTAGGCCGCTGCCCTCCTCCTCAAGGAAGAGCCAGTCTTCCAAATGCAGGCTGAAAATTAGAGACTTGTGTCCCCAGCATTCTTAGCAGGTACGGTGGTCACATGACCAACGACAACCAATGAAGTAGAAGTTGGCTGGGAGGAATTGTGGGACGTTCACGTCTTAAAACCAGGAGGCCTGAGCCCCAAGGGCAAGATCACATCCTGCTGAGGAAGGACGGGAACGGGAAGAATCTGGGTCTGCTGACATCTATGACCTGCGAGGCAACTGGAGCCAGAGGCAGCTTTGAAATGTGTCTAAAATTGAACTCATGCTTACTGTCTACACCACCCAAGAGCCAAGCTGGCGGCCCTGCCTGCCAGACTCTAGAGCAGCCTTCTCGCCGCTCTCCCTGAATCTCCCCTTGGCCCGCACACGTTCCTCTCAACAAGACTGCTGACGTGGCCTTTGATGAACTTCCATGAGCAGATCATGCTACTTCTCCACTCACAACTCTCCAGGGCCTTCCCTTCTCCCTCTGACAAGCGGCCTAAGTCTTTACCATAGGAGACAAGGCCTCCCGTGGCCTGAGTCCAGCGGGCTCCTCCCACCGCCCCTTCCATCACGCCTGCATAGCCAGCTTCTCACGGTCCCCGCACATGTCTGTCCGTGGCCCCTGGGAGCCACGTGTCCCCGTCCTTCGCCTTGCTTGGGTGTCTGCTCCGAGGTGAGTCCAAAACACTGTGTGAGAAGTGAGGTTCTCCAGCACAACATGGGAGATGACAGGAACATTCCAGACTCGCAGCCGCCCAGCACAGCAATGGCTGGCAAAATGGCTACTGAGCTATTGCGACTTCAGGAACTGAACCTTAACCATTGTATCCAATGTTCATTAATGTCAGATTTAATATCCACATGTAGTTAATGACTTCCCTCCTGGTGCTCAGCTCTATAAAACAACCACTTCTTCCTGTGCCTCCCTATTTCTTTCCCCGCTGTCTCCAGGACACGGATTACCACGTCATGTACACAATCATGCATATTGTCAGTCTGCTATCTTCCTTCTTTCTGAATGAACATCAGTTCTTTGAGAAAAGGCACATGGGTCTGGTTGCATGTCTACTGATCAACAGAGTCTAGGGGAGTGGCAGGCATGGAGTCGGGTAATATTCATGGACTGGGTCAATAAGAGAAGAAAAAGAGGGAGAGGGAGAGGGAGAGGGAGAGGGAGGGGAGAACTTGTTTGATTCTTTCTAGTTTCTTAGGTCTGACTCTGTAACTTCCTGGTGCTCTGAGCAGCGTGTGTGGTGCCTCATCATCACGCAGCCTTGCGTTTGGTTCCCAGCCCCGGTGTTATCCTGCCTGTGGGCATGGACAAAGTGACCCCTCTTCCCGGGCAACCCAGCATGGTTTTGCATCTAAATTCCTTCACCCAGGAAATGGAAATAATTCTAGTTCCTGAAAGAGAAGAGAAGACTTTGCATTCCACAGAAGCTCAAGGCATCTGTGGGCGAGGGACAGTTCTGAGTCCGTGGGAGTAGACTGGGGCTTGTCCAGGAATGTTTCGGTGTCTGAGGAGTTAGTTTCTGCCTGCTCACAAGGTTTGTTTTTTGTGTTTTGTTTTTGGTCAGTTTTGGGGCTGGATCTCTGGGCCTGGGCATTGTCCCTCAGCTCTTCAGCCAAAGGCTAGTGCTCTAACACTTGAGCCAAAGCACCACTTCCAGCTCTTTCTGTTTGTGGTGCTGAGGAATTGAACCCAGGGCCTCATGCATATGAGGCAAGCACTCTACCACTGAGCCACCTTCCTAGCCCCTCACAAGTTTTGACAGTCTTCCACCCACACCGGCCAAGGCTCACAAACCTAGGTCTGTGATAGCATAGACACCAAATGTCTATGCTGCCAAGAAGAGCTGCTCTGTGCGTGATGTCTGCTGTTGGTTTATCAATCTCCTCCCAACTTTCCTCATTTAGATTCTCCAAGGAAGACACAGCATTAGCAATCTTGAAATAATCACTACCATAATTCATCCAAACCAGGGATGTCATGCTAATTCAATTCTCAGAATAAAATCATACCAGATCCAAAGAAAACCATTCAAACTTCCATTCACATTTCAAATGAGTGAAGCTGAAAACTGTTAGCAGGAAATTCCCAGCGCCCAGTAACCCACACTGTGTTTACACACAAGTGTTCACATACACACACACTTAAGCATAGGAAATTATGCTTTTATGAGGAAATTTGTTTGAAAATGTTATCATTCTTACCTTTCCAAAACTCCCTTTACCAATGGCCCGCAGAATCTGAAAGTGGTCAAAGTTGACTACAAAAGAGAAAGAAAGGGAAAGAGAAGTCAGGTTTGTGAAACTTGTATTCAGATGTTTTTTTTGTCTCTTTTCAGGGAAGGGGGGAGTGCCAGTCCTAGGCTGGGCACTGTCCCTAAGCACTTTTTACAAGGCTAATGCTCAGCCGCTTGAGCACAGCCCCCACTTTTGGCTTTTTTGCTGGTTAATGGGGGATAAGGGTCTCAGGGACTTTCCTGCCTGAGCTGCCTTTGGATCTCAATCCTCAGATCTCAGCTTCCAGAGTAGCAAGGATTACAGACATGAGCCACTGGCCCCTGGCTAGTGAGGTGTTTTTCTACTGTGGCTGTTTTCCCTTTTGTTAATTATTTGAAATGCTGGGTTCCATACATGTACACAGTGCGTGTTAACCATGGTCACTCCATCCTCCTCCCTGGCTCCCCTCCTGCTCCCACTGGGCTCCTACACACTTGCAAGCAACCCCCCTCTAACTTCACATTTGAGAGAGGCGAAGGGGGGAAATTAGGAGGGCAGGAGTGACAGCAACCAGTAGAGGTGACACCCGTCCTCTCTGGGGACCCTGAGAAAGGAGGGCGGCCAGTGAAGCCGATGGGAGCTTCCCTGGGGAAGTGGAGGTAATGATTCTGGGAAAGCAAAGCCCCTGCGGACCCAGGAGCAGACCCACGCAGGGGACAGACGCCCCTCACGTCAGACACCCCTTGACGTGAGGGGTGTGGCGACCCAACCGGATGCCAGAGCAGCTGGAGGCTCACCCGAAGGACTAAAAGAGGGACCCAGGAGCCTGCATCAGGCTACTGATTCCTGGGCCCCACTTCTAGCTCTCTTGCACTGAGAAGTCTATATGTTCCTCTTCTTCCTCCTCCTCCTTCTCTTCCTCCTCCTCCCCCTCCTCCTCTTCTTCCTCATCTGGGAAACAGGTGAATAAGGCCTCATATAGCATAAGACAGCCCTCCCAATTGGGAGTCCAGGTTGGAGGCTATACCAACCCACTAGTAGACAAGAGGCTTTTCCTCAGTTTCCTCTGGTGTCTTACTCTTGCTTTCAAATAAACTTTGATTCTGGTACCAGGTTTTCTGCCTCCTAATTCCTTATTTGATGGAGAAAAGAAAAGGACCCAGGACTCCTGAATGATATCACATTTTTTTAAGAGAGAAAAAAGAAAAAAAGAACTCCATTCTACTTATGAGAGAAAGCATGCATGTTTTTGCTAAGCCTGGCTTGTTTTGCTTGACGTGATAACCTGCAAATGACATTATGTACTTCTTTATGGCTGAATGATAACCTGCAAATGACATTATGTACTTCTTTATGGCTGAATAATAACCTATCACGTTTTCTTTGCCTAGGAAGCCACTGATGACCACACAGGCTGATTCTGTTACTTTCATACGTGTGCATAGTCCCACAATCAACACGGGTGTCCAAGGATCTCTATTGTATGCTAACTTGGATTCCTTCAGGTGTCTGTCCAAGAATGCTATAGTAAGTCCTTCAGGAAGTTTTACTTCTGCTTTCTTGAGGGCTCTCCATACTGGTGTCTGTAGTGACTGCACTAACTTATGTTCCTCCCAACAGTGTTTAAGGATTCCATTCCCCCAGCCAACATTCTCACAAGCATGTATTATTGTCATCTGTTTTCTTAATGACAGCCATTGTGACTGGGGTGAGATAGGATTTCAGTGTACTTGTAATCTGCATTTCTCTGGTGGCTAAAAATGGTGGACAATTTCTTCCCACGTCTTTGCTGGTAGTCTGTGCTGCTGCTTTGGGAAGGTGGCCGTCCATTGCCCATTTATTGACTGGATCATTAGGTATTTTTGATGATAACATTATTTTTGTATGTGTACATGTGCCCATCCTAGGTCCCTTAAACTCGGGGCCTAAGTATTGTCCCTAAGCCTTTTCTTTTTCTTAATGTTGGCACTCTACCACTGGAGTCAGCCACAGCTCCACTTCTGGCTTTTTGCTGGTTAACTGGAGGTAAGAGTCTCAAGAGGTCTTTCTGCCCAAGTTGGATTTAAATCACATCCTCACCTCTCAGTCTGAGTAGCTAGGAATACAGCCACCAGACTTGAGATGCAACATTTTGAATTCTATATCTATTCTGAGTACTAACTGCCCCTCCCCTTCGTTCTTAACTATCTCTTCCCATGTGTGTCTTAACCCCAGTGTCTTCTATATTCAGGTGCATTACACTGGCCGCAGCAGCACGCCATCACTGGAGTGCTTCAGAAAATACTCAGCATGTTCCGCTTTCTCTCCACACAGTTAAAACCTCACCAGTGACACACAAGGTGAGATATCTTTGCAGGGACAGGGGAAGTGACAACACGAGAACCCAGAGATCTGAAAGTCCAAATCCTTGCGCATGCGGTTCTCTTTTCCAGAATGGCTTTTCCCTGCGGTGACCCCCACTCTTATCCACCTGGTCCTTTCACACACCCAAAGAGCAGCTTACCTGAGGCTGGCTCACCCCTTCTCAGTCTATTCCTGTCTGTCAGTCTGTCTAACCCTTGACATTGTGAGCTACTGGAAGACCAGGCTGCTGCTGCCAGACCATCCACCTGCCACTTCATTGGTCTTGTGTCCCTCTTGCAATTCATGGTGGCAGGACTCTTCATCTAACTGCCTACATCCTCCCTCACCACCCCAGGGCGAATCGGCTCCACTCCAACCTCTCTCCAACACAGGTCAACAGTGCACAGCCACCCTGCTGACCCCAGACCCTACCCACACCCTGCACCTCCCCCTATGACAGGCATGCTCCTCGCCCCTACAGCCATGCTCCTCACCAACTGCCCCTCCTACTTCTACCGCCCAGCACACTCAGTCTCGGGGTTCCAGGCACCCAACAATGGCTCTTCCACAACCCCTCTCTCCTCAAGGTCTCCAGAGCCCAGAGCTACACCTCAGAGACTGCCCCAGCTGTCTCGGCCTTGTAGGCTGTGTGACTGATGCCTTTCTCAGGGGTTTCAGGACCTCCTGGAACTCCACAGATGCAACCCTGCTGTCATCGGAGCAGACCTGAGCAGACTTGGCAGTGTCCGCCAAGCCTCAGCATCTACCTGCCGAGGCCGCAAGCCAGGACCTCATCCTCTCCTCCCTTCTCTCCCGGCCCCATAGCCCATGCTTTATCAAGTTAGGTCTGTGTTTCCTCTCCCCTGTCCTCCCGTCTGTCCACTCTCACATCCCTCTCGCCGGTCCTCTTCTCTCACAGGCACAGTGACTGCTCGGTGTCCCCGGCCCTGCCCCAGGACCTGGGCAGTGACCCCACTCACCCTCTCTTCTGGAGTCTCAGTGCCGAGCAAGTTCTTCCTCCTCACCCCCACTCCTGACTACAAGATCTGGGCCCCGTCTCTCGCCTGGTGGACGCCACGTGGTGCACGCTCCCTGTGCTGCAGACATAGGCTACTTCTTTCTAGAACAGCCAGTGCCTCTGAAGTTCTCCAGGCCCTGCACTTGTCAGCTTGCTGCTGCCTGTGTGTCCCCAGAGGCTGCTCCACCCTCCAGCGAGTCCTGGCCTGATCACTCATCCTCACGTCACGTGGTGCATCTGCCACACTCAACGTTCTGAATAATTCTGCATAAATTTGAATGCTTAATGGAGTCCACATTTCCCTACTCCACTGGCCCCCTTGAGGTCAGGGGCCAGGTTTATTTCTCTCTGTTGTTGTACCCTCGGCACCTCGCATAGTACTCCCTATTCAATACATACCAATTAACTGACTGGATCTCTATATTCATCGTGTCCATTCAGCAAATATTATTGAATTAGATGGAATTACAGCCAGTTTCCAGTGACTAGGAACGACAAGTTTTATTTACAAAGATAAAATGAATTGATTAGTTCACGGCATAATGGAAGCAGGCATGAGGGGAAGTCAACGAATATAATTTGTTCCTTGTAAGTTAACTTATGCAGTGAAGGATAATTAAGTTAAATTGTGTCCCTGCCAGGCCAAAATCAGACTCCAGTAAGTGATCAAATGCCTAACGTGCTTAGAATAGGGAGACAAGGTTAACGGTTAACTTAGCCAAACCTTGCTTCGTTGACCTGGATATGTTTATGTCCAGAAGAAAAAAAAAAACTGGCCAAGAGAAAAAATTCCTTATTTTCACCTCTTTGCTACTCACTGAAGGTCAAGGGAAAAGTAAAGCCATATGCTTGGCCATGTGGCTTTGCTTCGGTGCCCAGCAGCATGCTGGGAAATACAATCACTTGCCCCTGATGGCATCTGGCACCCACTCTCCAAAAAGAGCGCCTGCACCTCCAAGGCCTGGTGCCAGCCCAAGCTGCCAGGCCTCTTGTGGTCATGTCCCATCTCAAAGGAAGTTTTGCCGCTCTGGTCTGTGACACCCACCCCAGTGACCTGCTTGGTGCCGTTTCACACCTCCCACAAACCCTTGCTCCTGACAGCTGCCTGCCACAGGGTCACCCAGCCAAGGCTCGGGAGAGCTGGTCTGGAGACACCGGCTGAGAACCTTAGCGGCCCGGCCACCACCTATGTCCACGGGCGAGTCACTGAGCCCCTGCGCACCTCAGATCATCCTATCTGTAAATGGCAGGATGGTGCCCGCCTGCCACAGAGCTCAGACGGCGTCACACACACAGCAGTTCCTCTAACAGTGCGAGCTGTTGGTGCTGTGGAGAGGGGCCCCGCTCTGCAAGTTTCCTCCAGGAGAGGGATTTCCCTCGACCTTGCCCTGTCAAAGACGGTAGGAATGATCTGGAGCAGGAAGGGCTCTGCGCTGTCACACTCCTCTTCCTGCCCTCTCCAGGAAACCCGGTCCAGGAGGTCCGCTCCCTCCAGCTCCATCTTGTGGAAGCTTGTCTGGGTCAGCACTTTGGGGAGCCCAAGACTGTAGGCCCAGACTTGGCTACACAGGCAGGAGAGTCCGGCGAACTCTGGGTTTCTTAATAATTAAGGTTACAGTGTTCTAAGTATTCCATTCATACATTCCCCTCCACGAGTGTGGGCTTCCCGGGGACGGTGAGTGAGTAGAGAAACAGGTTCATTAGCGCTCATGGGCTTAGGGGTCAAGGGCTTGCAGCGCCTGGCTAGAATTCCTGCTTCGTTGGCATTGTCCTGACTGCTGACTCTGATGGAAGAGTGCCCGCTCTGCGTACGCTCGGAGTCAGTAGGGGCTTCATGTCTGTCTGATGCGCATGGACGAGGCTGAAGTGAGCCAAAGGCCCAGAAGTCCTGGGCTTGGCTGCCAGTGGTCACCTGCCCAGGGCAAGGGGAGACGGCCGGCAGATGGGAGGTGGTAGCACCAGTGTCCTATGGGGTCCGCCTAGAACCATACTGCCTGGAACCTTCCTGGTTCTGTTGCATGGAGTCCCACACTCCTGAAAATCCCCCCAGACTGGGGAAAATGGCAACAGTAAATCCTAATGCAGAACTATGAGAAAGTAGGAAACACAGCATCTCAAGAAACCAACAATGACACGAGAGAACCAGAATGACAGTGAAGTGGAGGACATCCTAGCCATTGAGTGTGAAGAACTGATGATGAGAATGTGTAATAAGATGAATGAGAACACGTATAGGCAAATACAAAACTCAAAGCACACACATCAAGAAGCAAAGGAATTCAGTGTGAAAAGTAGATAAAAATAAATAACAAGCAAACAGTTCGGTTACCAGTGAACTTCAAAATGAACACAAAGGATACAGCTAAACAGCTAAAAGGGAGCAAAAGAAGAACACATAAGCAATAAATGAAATGTTTTTTGGGTTTTTTTTTGTTTTATGGCTTTTTTGGTCAGTTGTGAGGCTTGAATTCTGGGCCTGGCCGCTGTCCTCAGCTCTTCAGCTCAAGGCAAGTGCTCTTACCACTTGAGCTACAGTGCCATTTCTGGTTTTCTGGTGGTTCATTGGAGATAAGAGTGTCATGGACTTTCCTGCCTGGGCTGGCTTTGAACCACAATCCTCAGATCTCAGCCTCCTGAGTAGCTGGGATTACAAGCGTGAGCCACCCTGAGAAATGGAGTTTTATAAAAGGTCAATGGAAGACAACAAAAGAGGTTTCAGTAAAGAGAGAGAAATCTTGGGGGGGAAATTAAACTGAAGACCTAGCAATAAAAAGTAAAATGGAAAGCCTCTCGGGCAGAGTAATCAGTGTGGAAGACATAGAATATTCTACGTTTAAGATGTAGAATAGGAGAAGAAAAGGCAGGGAAAGGAGCGGGGTTCTCCCAGGCTCCTGCCTCTGTCTGTGCTGGCCAGCAGGGCCGGTGGCTTAGCACAGACTTTCCCTCGGCGTCCCACAAGGCCCGCGTGCCTGGCGCTCCTCCTGCATCTGCCGCCTGGAGCTGTGACTGATTTCTGCAAGCCTCCAGTTGGTTTCCAGTTGATAAATGTGATTAATAAAACTCCCAAGGCTTTTCATTCAATCTATCCCCTTATCAGTAAAAACACCGAGTCTTGAGTTGTCAGGAAGTCACATGACTAACTCCTGCAACAAGATTGCTGGGATGTCGGTAGAATCGTGGACTCCAGGGGAAGAAAAACAGCGCCCCTGTTTCAGAGGGAGGTACCGCAGCTATGAATTTCCTCGAGAGCCAAGGCTTTCGGACACACCTCCCTCCTGAGCCAGTGCACTGGCTCCCTAGGACAGATGTAGATTGTCACTAGTCACTCGAGACAACAGGGAGGCACCTTCTCACTGCTTGAGAGGCCACAAGTCCCAAGTCAGGGCGTGGGCACTGGGGGAGGCTCCCCTCCTGCCTCTACCAGCGTGGACTGGACACCAAAGTCCTTGCCACTCCCTTTGCCACGGCCTCTGCCCTTCCCCTCGTGTGGACCCACCCCTGTACCAGCCTCCGTTCTTTCTTCTCACGAGGACACCAGGGATTTGATGTATGGAACACCTCCAATGCAGGAGGATTCCCACTTCAGACCCTCAGTCAATTATCTCTGCGAAGACGCTACTTTCAAATATGGTCATGTTCTGAGTTTCCAGCTTGATGTGGACTTGGAAAGGCTGCTCTTCAGCCAGAAATCCCGCTCAGGCACCTGGCAGGGAGCGGGGACAGATGGAACAGGTAAAGGGCTGAGCCCACGTTTAGTGGACCTGGGGTTACGCCCCTGTGCACACACCCCTGAAGCTGTCTGAGTTGTGGAAACAAAAGCAGAGTCGTTGCTAACCAACTCTGGGTGAGCAAGGTTCTGGTATCTCCCTCAACCAGCCTGTAGCTGCACAATGGAGGGCAAATCCCATGGGTGGCATGCGAGTGGGCCACTTAACCAGGAAAGGCTCCCCCAGTTCCCAAGGCAGTGATCCGCCGGGAAACATGGACGTGGCTACCAAAGACCAGTGTCATCTGCTCCCTCGGGAAGGGTGGAGAACAGCATGGGACTCAGGCCTGAATTTTAGGCTTAGCCTCTCCTGACCCTTTTTTGTTGTTGGTGGTGGTGGTCATGCAGCTTGAACTCTGTGCCTAGGCGCTGTCCCTCAGCTCTTCAGTTCAAGGCGAGCATTCTACCCCGTGAGCCACAGCACCACTTCTGGTTTTCTGGTCTTTAATTGGAGATAAGTCTCACAGATGGTCCTGCCCAGGCTGGCTTTGAATGGTGCTCCTCAGATCTCAACCTCCTGAGTAGCTAGGATGACAGGAATGAGCCACTGGCACCTGGCTTTCCTGACACTTTTTGATATAACTACTGAGCAGCTAAATGGGGAGGGGTGACAGGGAAGAGACAAGAAAATGGCCATCCCTCCTCCTTTTGCACGGTGAACTCCGCTGCTCACACATGCCCAGTGCTGACATCAAGTCACGTGGCATCAGTCCTGCCTGAGCACTTTATTCATGAGCCCTGAAGGAAGCTGAGCCAGTGCCATGTCTCAACGCAGATGCTCACACTGTGATTTATTTTCTCATTAACCACAAACAGGCATCCTCCATTAACTGCCCCACACATGGGGGGGCCTGAAACACTTAGAGGGCCTCGCTGTACATGCTGTGTACTGAGCACGCCACGCACTGAGGCCAGAGGCGCTGGGAGAGTGGCCTGGATGAGCCGAGCACTGTGTGAGGTCCCTAAGCCACTGTCAGGGGAGCTGTGGGTGGAAGAGCCAGAGATGCTGTGAGCCCACACGAATCCCTCAGTTCTCCACCTCTGCCTGTGCTCGGGTCCTCGGCAGGGGGGTCTCAGGGTCCAGAGGTGCAGCACATCTCCAGCCATCCATCCTCACTTCCACCATGGCACAGGAATAGGCTTAACTGAAGAGATGCTGGCTGACTCAAGGCATATTTTGGTTTCAGAAACTACCTGGCCATGTCGGCCTCATACCTACCTGCTTAGCTAGTCTCTCGTTGCTGAAAGAAATGCCCAGCCATGCAAGCTCATAGCCCACAGATCATCAGTGGAGCAATCCAGACCACCTGACAACCAGGCAGTCCCAAGACATGACAGAGAGCCTGGGCAAGGCTGG